TCAGCAGTGGACAAAGTGGGCAGCTGTCCAGGGGCCTCCACAATCTGGGGGCCTCCACATATTACAATATTTTATTTATTTGTTTATTCATTTGGATTATTTTTATTTTCATTCTTTAAAATTCATGTTTATCTATTCCATCATGGCTTCAAAATTCTCCAAGGAAATGTTTAAATTTCAAAATTTTCCCGGGGGGCTTACAGCGCCCCCCGGAACTCCCACATGTTTAGGCTCGCTTCACTCGCCACCCCACCCTCTTGGGCAGTTATAATGAGGGGGGCCTCCACAAAGAGGCTGCCCATGGGCCTCCACAGGTCTAAATCCGGCACTGCTTCTGTCTGATCCTCTTTTTCCGTTTGCCTTCATCCATATTTCTAATTTCTTACTCTTAAAACAGTTCCTCTTAGTTGGTTTGTTTCTCTCTCACCCCTTTCCTTCTCATCCCTTTTCTCTCTATCTGTCCCCCTTCTCCTTCACCCTCCCTCGCTCCCCTTTGCTCTGTACCTCCTCCTCCCTCCCTCTCAGTCATCCTCACCAACCTCCCTTTCCCTCCCCTCCTTCTATCCTCCCATTCTACCTTTAACTGCCGTCCCAGTTTCCTGTTTGCTACCGTGATGGACAGTGTAGCGCAAGTGCTGTCAGTCTCTTCATGTTTTTTAATGCTCTCCATTGTTGCCTAGTCATGGTCACCAAGGCAGTACTCCATGGCTCGTACCTGTTAATATCAGACATAGTTAATTAATGTGTTTTTGTTTGTTAAATCTCTTTGGGGATCGCATGAAGAATAGCCTTACAGCTTATTTTACCTGATGATTAAACGCCTTAACGTTACCTGGAGGTTAGGCTATATTCGGTCATGTTACGTTAGGTCATTTTAGATTAGGTTAGGTTAGGTTATTTTAGGTTAGGTTAATTTCGGTTAGCGTTAGGGGTGATTAATCTTAGAGTGAAATAAGAAGAGAGGGATGATCTTCAGGTAATCTGTTAAATCACACGTTCTTCACTACTTCCTGTCTCACCTGGTTACAAATCTTCTTAATTACGAAATTATCCAGTTTGTACATACCATTACTCAAATTTATATTGACGGATTCGGCATGTTTAATGAGACTAAATTCTATATTGTTCGTACTGTCAATTGAATTACAAGATAATATTGAGGAAGCATTATCCCAGTCAATGCAATGCTTATTATCCCTCAAATGAACAAACAGAGCATTGGATTCCTGGCCTGTCCTAACACTATATTTATGTTGTTTAAGTCTAGTTACAAGATCTTTACCTGTCTGGCCTAAGTAAAACATTACATTCCTTGCAAGGAACCTTATAAATTCAGCCACCAACACAATACAGGTGGTTGGGATAATGCCTCCTCAATATTACCTTGTAATTCAATTGACAGTAGAAACATTATAGAATCCAGTTTCATTAAACATACCGAATCCGTCAACACGAATTTGAGTAATGGTATGTACAAACTGGATAATTTCATAATTAAGAGGATTTGTAACCAGGTGAGACGGTTGGGTCATCTTACCCTCTGACCTGACTATCGACTACTGTGGTGTGGTGTTTTTGAAGATTAGTAGGGTCATTACCTAATACCTGACCATTGTGGACTTGATCTCACCCTCCTCTATATATAAGGACGAGTTGCGGAACCTTCTGAGTGGCACAGATAGCGAGAGCGAGGACGAGGATCCAGAAGAAGAGTTGGCGGAGCATGAAGTGCGAGTTAAACAGTTTTGGAAAATGTTTAACGTCAAGAAAGCTGTTGATATCTTGGTGGAGGCATGGGGGCAGCTGTCTGTGGCAACGATTCGTCACGCGTGGCGGCATGTGTTGCAAGGTATCCCAGGATGGTAGGCAGGGTCAACCTGTGGCTCAAGAGGCTCAGTCTGTTGCAGTGGTAGTGGACCTTGCAAGAGAAGCTGCACAGAGTGTTACAGCTGCAGGCTTCTCCGAGACCACCAACGACGACATCATGAAGGTAATCAGGAATTCTGAGGTGACTGCCGACGATATGTTGGAAGACGATGACGTCAGTGAGGAGGCAGAAGTTAACACATGGTGATATAAAGGATGTCATCGAGTTTGCCGAGAAACTCAAGTTCATCCTTTCCAAAGACCCTCTCAATCACTGATATGAAGTCTCCAATAACCATCTAGACCAAACTATGGAGCCGTATATCAAGATGTATCACGACCACATCAACGCTAGCCGTCAGCGTAAAATCACCGACTTCTTCGGCCGCAGCCAGCCCAAGTCAGTGATAGTGACAGTGATGGTGACTTTGAGGGGTTTGTCAGGGAGGCCCTGACATCTGTGGTGGATAGTGATAGTGATTCACCTGAGGACCACTAACCTGCCCTCTGCCTCGGAACCAGCCCCCATCCCCGTATGCCGACCCATCTCTTCTACTAACGTACGTGCTAAACCTTGATTTTTCTTTTACCTGGTATATTATTCTCTTATTGATATTTCTCTTCTATATTATGTGTGTGTGCATACCATCATAAAATTAAGATACTATTTTTACTACAACGTACGTATTGAGTCGGAAAAAGTGGAGTTTGGGGGTCAGCCCAGTCTCTATTTCAATTAAACCCATATGTTCCGTAAATGCAGACTATACTGTATTTAATTAATTGCATTAACACTAATTGTACAAGTACGAAATGGTATCAAGTTCAAACAAATCATGCTTAATAAAATACACAACCATTCAATTGACAACAGTGTTCTTCATTCAATTCATGGTTTTTACTATTGTGTTTCAAGTATCAGTTTATCTCTAAAGGCAGTTCTGTTCCTTCGTTTTTACATCGACACGAGTTGAAAATCCTCTTTCCGACAAGTATTTGCTTGACATACGAATAAGTGTGGTCATGGCTTCCTTGGCCACACTCAAATTTTCAGGTAATTTCAGCAGACACACCCGGAAATCTTCATAGCAAGATGTTCCGGCAAAGAGAGACTTCAGGGAAAAATCTACACTCTGGTCAAGAAGGACTTCCTTGTTTAGCGTGCAGGATAACTGGACATGCTGCATCAATAAAGGATTCGTTATCCACTTGGAGTCCTTCAGAAACTTCATCTTTTCTTTGGAAAAGTACAATTCCAGGTTATCCTCCATAACAGAGAGGGGGAGTTGCAATGATGATCCTCCTCTTTTCGTCCAGAACTGGAGAGGTTTCCTCCCATTTGCAGCTTTTGAAGAATTGCTCCAGTTCTTCAAAAGGAGTAAAGTTCATATCATCGACACATCTCTTCCAGTGATGCACTTTCAGCTTGAACCCCTGCACCTTCCCAAAGGTCTCAACACATTGCCCCCTTTTTCCTGCATAGAGGTTCAATTTGTTGAGAAGTTAAAAAATGGAAGCTAAATAGCAGTCTTGCCAGCAAATACCAATCACCCAACTTCCAAGTCTAGCCCTCATCGTTCACAAAGAAAACTTGAAGCTCATCTTTCAATTTCAGCACGTTAAGAGAGGACTTTGCCCCCTTTATAACCCAATTTTGGATGAGCACAGATGCAATTGACAAAGCCAACAATGCCTGTAATAGCTTCTCATTGTTGGTCTTCTCTGGTCTTTCTCCCTTGCACGGCTGAACACACAGTCGCTTGGTGGCCAGGGCTTCACGGTCAATGATACAATGGGTGGCGCAGCACTCAGGGGAGACAGCTTTGATCCACGCTACTACTCTTTGCTGAGCTCCCGTCATTGCTGCTGCCCATCTGTAGTAACACACACAATTTGTCCAATCCAAATGTAATTCTTCAATAAATTCATTTCCCTTTTGAAAAATTGCTACCCCAATGGTTTGAACACCTTTCCCTTTGCAAGTGGTGATACGACCGAATGATCTCAGTCTGGTCTGGGATGCCATCACGAAAACAGTGGTGAGTATTGTCTCTGAACCATATATTGTTTGAGCTTGACTCAAGCATTTTATTTTTCAACATTATTTGTGGGGGGGAGGGGGGTGGGGGTTGGGAGAAAGTGAAGGAGGCCAGGAGGATGTTGAAAATTCCTCAAGGGCGGAATGGAGTGAAAAAGGTTGAGAACCACTGGGTTATACCATTGTACAGTTTTGTTAGTGAGTATAGTTAGAATACTTCAAAGTTTGCAGTTGTGTAATAGATCTATAATTTACTTTAGTTCCCCCAAGAATGAAGTAACATTATCTAGTTAAACTTGTGGGGTATGGGATGTTTGGTTCACACTCAGGATGGGATGGAGAAAGGAAACTCACGATGTGCTCTCTGTATACATGTTGTATTGGATGTACAATGCAGCTTGGTACTGGGAAGGCAGCATGGTTACAAGCGTGATGTAGAGAGAGCTGGTTGGTGAGGATGCTCAGAGGAGGACCAGCTTGTGGGTCGCCATGCTCTCCGGCGGGAGCGAGGGCCGCCAGGCAGCGGCGGAGGAGGAGGAGGTGTTGCTGGCTGGTTGGTGTAGGTAGAAAAAGAGAGGTCACCACAAGGTCAGGTCTTAAATAGCGGGGGTTGGCGTGGCTTAGTAGTTGACCCCCGCTCCGTGGTGTATGGCGGCGCTGGTTGACCTAGACCACGAGGCATACACTGGGGAATTGGTGGGGTCGGCTACTCAGCGACAAACAGCGTTTGTAGGGGAGAAATCCACTACAATACTCCCCCTTCCCTCCAGGCGGTGTAGGAGACTTGTTGTCTGCAGGGTTGCATAGCACATGTGAGGCAGAACGGGTGGTGCATGCCTCATGTGAGACAATGGCGATGGCGTGGATGAGCCGGTCGCTGGACACAACTGTCTAGATACACAATATCTGTGGGAGTAGAGAGGGAGAAAAAGAGTGTGTGGAGGCGATGAATGTTGTTCTTCCCTCACGGCAGGTACAGAGTCGTCAGATGCGCCTGCTGGGGTGTGTGGGCATGGGTCAGGAGCAGGGGCTGCGTCAGCAGAAGCGGGTGAGGGCTCGTGACAGCAGCTGGGTCCACGACAGCAGCAGGGTGCAGGACATTAGCAGGGAGTACCTGAGGGAGAAAGGAGGGGTGTGTGGGTCCGCATCAGGGCGGCAGGGGTTGAGCGCTATCTATGAGTTAACAGTGTCACTAAACCATCATCACGAGTTACAGAGGAGAGTGTCTCGTCTGCAGATAATTCTGGGAGTGAACAACCACAATCAGCCAGGAAGATACGGGAGCTGTGTTCAAAACTCAAGGTCAAAGGTAATATTGATTAATCACTTTATTTGTCCGTGTTTTTAGCGTAAGATTAGTTTAAACAGGTTAATTATGATTGATATTCTGCGTAGTTGATAGGGTTAGGTCGGCAACACTTCATCTGGGTGAGTTCTTATCAATTAATGTCATTATTTACCTATGTTGTGAAGGTAAAATTTCATTTGTTGCCACTACGAAATCAAAGTCGAAATTGGTTAAAGTCATCTCGTACCCAAGACAACCTGTACCCATATATTTATATAGGTACGAACTGTCTCATAAATTGGGTACAAGCACGAGTAATTGGTTACGGGTTGACATGTTGTGGTGGGTCCAGCAGTCGAAACTGTTTTTCCGATGGTTTTTGAGGTGTTATGAACGAATTTGACCTTCATTTCTGGCGCAAATGAATAGCTTCTGCATTTGCATGATACTGAACACGAAAATGGAAACGAGAATAAACAGAGCCTAACAGAACATCACTTAACCAACCTAACCAAAGAAACCTAACCTAACCACTTGAGAAATTTACGCATGCACAAAATTTTTACATAATGTATAAAAACACCAATACCACCAGAAATAGTGTGCAGATTTGTTTCATTTTTTCACAATTTGTTCTAAGCATTATAGGAAGTATTTTAAAAGAGGCAATATTTATTAGAACCTAAGCTAACCAACTAAAGAAAACTACCTAACCTTACCTTACTTCCTAGCCAGACCAAAGAAACCTACCTAACTTCCTAGCCGGACCAAAGAAACCTACCTATCCTTACCTAACTTCCTAGCCAGACCAAAGAAACCTACCTAACCTACCTAACTTCCTAGCCAGACTAATTAAACCTACCTAACTTTACCTAACTTCCTAGCCAGAGGGCAAACTCCCCACCATATTAAACAGAAAATACTTATTTTGATATCTGGTACAAATGAAAGCAACTTTATTGAAGCATCATTATGTAATTTTATGTTTTTTGTGAGCATGAGAGTATGCTCAGACCGAATGGGTCAGTTGTAAACAAACAAGCAGATGACAACACATGCTGACTCGGCAGATTATTTGGAGGAGTATTTATAGTAAATAAATAATTTCTTCACGTACAAAACACATAGACATAATTTTAGTGGAGAGTGATAAGTTTTTCAGTGTTTTACCCTGCAATTTTCCTCATCCTTCATGCCCTGCCCATTACAGGTGATTTATGGTTGCAAATAGAAATAATAAATACTTATAATTAAAACAAAAAGTTGTCGTTTCCTGAAAAATACTTACTACTGTATAATGGTAAGAACATATGTGGGAAAAATTACCCAAATCGAATAGCACTTTCCGGTGGTAGCGGTTCCCTCATAAATTACCAAATTTTATCTCGACACATTCAATCAACTTGTGACCTCAACACTAAAACAAGAAGAGCATTACTGACGAAACTCCGAAAACACGAAAAGAATATAAGATCATAAATTTTTCCTCCGCTATCGGTAAAATAGGATAATGTTTTCTATATTATTATGACTTTCCCGGGTTAAGAGTGGTTAGGTAAGGTTTATAAAGGTCTGTTTGGTGTGGTTTTTATGCGATTTATCCCCACGTTTTCCTTCATCTTCAAATCATGGAAAGTATCTCCTTAAATAACCATTAGCGGCAGAAAATAAGGCCATGTTCATTCAAATCACCGTAAAAACATAAAAAAAAAACACCAATTCCTATTGTGGCCCCAAACAAATCTTTTTCATATTTTGTGTTTTAGTTTTAAATATAAGTTATGTAGTGAGAGATGAACGGTGTTGTATTAGATGAATATTATGAAGTGGACATTTTGTTTCTTGTAGCACAAAAAATAAGTTAGAAAAGATAATTTAGATTTGGATGACCTGTGTGTAAGACCAGTGAGTTGTGGTGAGCTGTCGGTGCTGTGTGGTGAGCCGTGTGAGCTATGTGTGGTGATGAGCCATATGTTTGGTGATGAGCTGTGTGTGGTGAAGAGCCGTGAGTGTGGTGATGAACTGTATCTACCATTATTATTGTAGGGGAACTGCAATTTTTCTTTGCGAATAAGGGAGGAAGATGCATTACAAATATTGAATGGGGGTGTTAAAATGTGAATTGAGGATAAGCGGTGTTGCAAATAGTGAGGTCATCCTGTACAGTACTGTATTGTATACCCTTTCTTCCCACAGATAGTGCAGCCAGGTGTAGGCATCACCTCTCCTTGTTTATGACACTTATTGGTATGGCTGGGTGATGGCTGTGAGATTAATAACTTGTAAGTATGATTTATTGGGTCATTATTTTTATTATTTGTTGACTTAAACATATTTACTAATACAGTATAGTATATCAGAATAAATAATAATATATATTGCAATGATGGAGAGTTTATTTGTAAATATTGCTGAAATAATTAAATCTGGATAAGATGCAAGTTTAGATGAATAATGTACAGTATATCTATATCATTTGAGGAGGAACTGTATAAAGAAACTGGAATACCTGTATAGCGAACTTGCTGAGGAACGTGAAGTAAGGAAGTTTGAACAACAGTTGAGAGATAGGAAAATATAACATGAGGAGAACTTAAGTACTGGAGTTAATGGTAAATATGAAAACATACCAAGTTGTGACCCCTTGTTTTGTCGGTTAAATATAAAGGTAGAAAGTTCACTCGTTGACTATTTTCCTCTTTTCAGATTTGCGTGGAGGTGCAAGAATAAGGATTTTCAAGCTTCAGCGGAAGACAGGGGACACAGGTTACGTAAGGGTTTAGATTTTGTTCAGTACCAAATTGAAACTAAACTTTGTCAAGCCAAACTTAAGTCCCTTGTGTATGTGTCCCTCTCTTGAGCTTAGTAAAATCATCTGGTGTCTCTGTAGTCTAGGGGCTAAAATATGTCATCATTTTGTTTTAGTCACAAGAAAATTTTGAGTGTTGTGAATATTTCTCATCTTTTGTGTACAGTCTTTGTTGATTTTCATTGTGTACTGTATATTATAGTTCTGGTTCAGCATTGTCAGTGTTTAGGCTTCTTGGCTGCCAGCTGTGTGATGTGTTATTATTTTCTTGTGTTAGTTAATGTATTATGGGAGTCCTGTACAGTATTTGATTGAGTTTATCCCATATTGTGGTTCCTCGTGTGTGTGTGTGTGTTCCGGAATTGAGTATAGTTATGTTATGTTCTGTGTATGTGTTACTGTTTGTGTATTTGCTGGTCTGTGCTTTGCTGGTCTTCCGAGGACTATGTTTCTTACTGTCTGTCAGTGCCATAGCAATGAGGAGGCAGCACGGGGGCCATTATTAAGCGTGACTCATAATAGATTTGGAAATTTGCTAAACATAAATTATATATTCAGTTCTAGTCTTGATCCAACTAATTTAAAAGAATATTGGCAAAATTTTCCAAGTTTTTATTCGTCTCATGTTGCGGAAGATTCACTCTGTCGGGATATAATGGACTGCCATATGCTGCTTATGAATGGCCAAGCTATCACAGTGCTGACAAATGCTGGAGAACTCTTTAAAGTCATTATCATGTATGGCAGATATGTTTTCCCTGATGTTGGCATAGCACTTGTTTTAATGCTGACTATGGCTGTCTCGGTGGCTTCTTGTAAGCCAACATTTAGCCATCTAAAAATAATTAAAAACCACCTCTTATCATCTATGAAACAGGAGAGCCTTTCATACCTCTCATTACTCTCAATTGTGTTAACATTTCTAGAGTGTGTTGATGCTGACGGGATCATAGATTTATTTATTTGTAGCTTATTCAGTATAGCTTGAGTTGTAGTCTACTAACATGAACCTATTTTAAATCATTGTATATTTTTCATAAGTAAGTTTATATAGCTTCATGTTGTGAGTTTGGGTAGTGAGTAAAGTTGGGTAATCTTGTATTTAGGTCCTTCACGCCAGACTTTATCAAAAGCTTTTAGACACATCTGTAAGTATAATGCTGCACTGATCTCTGTTGTTGGCACTATAGGTGTGTTTGTACCTCTGTTTTTGTAGAATCCATGTTGCCTCGGGTTTTACTAATCAGTGCTCGTCTTCGAGGTATAGTAATATCTTTGTGAGGCAGAATCCCTCAAACCCCATAACTCTCCGCTAGCCGGAATTTAAATTTTCTCGGAAAATCGTTCCCAAAGCCGGAATTTTCCAGAAAAATCCAGCTTTGAGAACGATTTTCCGAGGGACACATTTTCTGGAAAATTCTGAGATTATTTTCCCAGTCTCCGGAAAATTCCGGGGATGGGGGATGAAATGAAAAATTTCTGGAACTTCTGAGAATTTTTTCTGTTACTCAAAAATTCCTTAGATGAGGGATTTTTTCCAGCTTTGAGAGAGTCGTCTCATTATCCGGTAATCTCTCATTCCTGGAAGTGCTCTACACCAATTGTTCCGGCTAATGGAGATATGACTAGTTTGTGAGTCGGTGGTTGATAAGAATTTCCAGAAATTTTCCTGGGATTTTGAGGAATGATGTAGGCCTATAGTTCTCTTCTTGGGTGAAATGCTTACCTCATAGTTGGTTTAGTTGCCTCTTTCACTGACTTTTTACCTATTTCAACAAAAGTGTTTTAGTGTTTGGTCCTTTCACATTGTTTATCTTCCTCTTGTT